CACACACACACACACATATATATATATATATATATATATATATATATATATATTTATATGCATTCAAGAATGACATCTGAAACAGTTGTTTGAAATTAAAAATAAATTATAATTTATATAAATTGTTCCTACACAAATGTAAAATAAACTGTTTAAATGGTTCTTATTATTTAGTGTACTTGTAACTTTTATTTATTTCAACTAATAATGTTTTCTTTCCATATAAATGCTCAAAGCAATAAACCGCTTCCTTTTTTTTAAATCTTTTTCAGCGAAATAACGGATGTACAAGAAATTAAAATTCCACCTGGCTAGAAGAAAGTGAGGTTTCAATGGAATTCCATCAGATGTCGCTGCTATCGAAACAGGTTGTCTCCTCTATTTCTTTCCCCCCAAGATATACCTCTTCCTCCACGTGCATCAATTGTTAGCAAGTGTTCATAGTGGACTGTTCTCCAGCCGGAACGGCTCTGGGCGACCATTTAAATTTTTTCGCCCAGTTGTTGACGTTCTCTGTCAGACTCTAACCTCTCTTAGAATGACCGGAAAAAACCGTCATTACTGCTCAAATATGGCAGCATCACCGACCACAATTAATTGCCCAAGCTGATAAAGATTATACAAAACAGGAAACAATGACCAAAGTGGATAATTACTGGTGCCGATTGGAATTTCCTAAGCTTCTTAAGTGTTCTTTTTTGTTCTAGGTGATTATCTATTCAAATTAGGTGCTTGCAAATACCGTGCATAGTATTGATTAGTGTGCTAATTATATTTAAATTAAAACCCAAGAACCATCATGAATCCTTGGATTACTTTATTTGTTTCGGATATGTGCGTTTACATGCAATATAAGTAAATGCAAAATAGTGCTATTTCGTGATTGTGGCTGTGTTTAGATATCACACATAATTAAGCTGGTGATGATATACTGGGCTGAAAAATACGAAAAATATCCGAAATTCGCAGCCTTGATCTTCCTTTCTGAAAAAGGTTGATTGTATCAGGCTGTGTTATAATTATTTTCATCAAATCTACTTAAACTTCTTACCTTGCTTGACAGCTTACTCTGAGATCAAGGTAAAAGGAGTAACATCATCTTTACACACGGTTCAGTGATAGTGTGTTGATTGGATACCTCTTCAAGACAAAAATTTCAACCATGGATGTGGAAGTGGCAAAATATTTATCCGAACTGAATCATAAGATTCGAAAAGGATGCACTGCTCATATTACCAGGACGGGAAGGCTGTATTATATGAAGTAAGTACTCTCTTAAAGATTTTAACACACTTGAAATAGGCTGAGATGTTAAACTATCAAAGAAATTTCTCTTCAAAATTATAAAAATATGATATCATCACTCGCATCCGGCTATGTTAATCATGTTACCTAATCAAATCTTCGGAATTTTGTTTTCAAACTGTATTAAGAAGAGATTTTTTTTTTCATATCTTCCTTGTTATGTATATTAAATATACTATTTGTTATTATCTTATGATTTTTTTCAGTTAGAGTAATTAATATTTAATAGTAGTTTTGAGGGATAGTACTATTTACCATAGAGAAATATTTTCAGTTAGAGTAATTAATATTTAATAGTAGTTTTGAGGATGAGTACTATTTTCCATTGAGGAAGATTTATTAAATTAGAGATTTATTGGAGTAATTATTTATTTTTCAAACTGCATTAAGCTGAGTGTTTTTCTTATATCTTCCTTTTTATGTAGGTTAAATGTACTATTTGTTATTCTTGCGATTTTTTCAGTTAGAGTAAGTAGTAAGTATTAAATAGTAGTTGTAAGGGATAGTACTATTTTCCATTGAGACAGATTTATTAAATTAGAGAATTATAGGACTAAGTAATTATAAATAGTCATGTGATTGAAAAGTACTGCTATTAAAAGGAACAGCACTTTTTAGTTAAATTAGTATATTGTGACAGATTTTTTGAATGAAAGTACTTATTTAGTACTATAAGTACTTTTTAGTATTATGACTAGATGTGAGTTTATCAGTATATGTTTTTCTAGAATAGATAGTATTGAATAGTAATGTAGAGTAAAATTATTGTTTAATATTATTTAGTTTGTACTTAGAATCATCCAAGATATTTGTTAGGGTAAACGATAAGTAATGCTTTTTCGAATAGAATTACTGTTTTATATCCAAGTTAGAGAAGTAACAGATTTGTAAGATTAAATTGTATGTTTTCAATAAAAATACGATAGAAGTTTTGTATGAATAATTAATAAATAAATAGAAAACTGTAAATGTTAAATAATTTCAAAAAGTACCATTTAATCTTACTCTAGAATAGAGTTAAAGAAGAACGCTATAAATGTTGCGTTAGAATTTTTTTAAATAAACAGTACGTGAAACAGTTTTAAATAAACCATGTTATGAAAAATCGATTTATTTGTTTACGTGCATAAAGTTATCTTAAAGTTATAAACGTTCTTAATTCTATGAAAGAAATAAAACAACCAGACTTTGAAGGACAAATAGAAAACGGGTTGAATTAGAAAGAATCTAAAGGAACTAACTCTACACGAAGGTTGTGCTGTGCAATAAAATTTAAAAAATTTATTTTATTTAATAAACGGGGAAAATCGATTTATGAAATTAAAAAATTCGCCAGTCGTATGATTATTTTTCCAGATTATTTATTATTTGCATTATTATTGAATGATTTTGCATGATAATTTAATATATTTAGTTTAATGTACTGGTTGGAAAATATTTTTTACTCTATTTTAATAAAAACACTGAAAATCGAGTTTCTTGAAGTAGAAATTAAAATATTTTTTGATTCTACAACTATTAATAAAAATCTTTGCCATAAAATAAATGTATGCAATATTTTGCTAAATGAGTTTCAGGATTCTGACGCATGGTTTTTTGATTTAATTTGTATTATTATTTATTAATTTGCTTGTTAATTTAATGATATCCCATGATTATTTAAATTATTTCATATTCTGGTCTTAAAATTCTTTTAATGATTATTTAATACATATCGCATGATTATTAAATGTCATACGCGCTTTATTTTATCATGTCCCATAGCTATTTTATGATGTCAAATAGTTCTTTAATACTTTTAATCTTAACATGCTTATTTTATTTACTTCATTCTATTTATAAAACTCGGGTTTTAAAATTAAATGCATTCTGTTTACTAGGTTTACGTGATTTGAATTTAAAAGCATCATGACTTCATACTTACAAAAGCATTTTTTGCATTGTTTTTAATCTAAGTATTGTTTTAAATCTAAATCTTTGTCATAGAACCCACTTATGTAACATCTTGTCGCAGGATTTTATTCTTTAAAAGTTGCGTTGCTATGGTGATGCCGCATCCTCGGCAATACATCTGTTTTTACTTACCATGCCGGCACTTGCATGAGTAATAGCTTGATCAATAAAGACATTTGATCTTTTATGACGCAACTTTAATCATTGATGATTATTTTTTAATTCGCTATACCACACTTCAAATTAAACTATTCAAGCACACCATGAAATATGATTCTACAGAGGATACGACACCAACCAACCAACACTTCAAATTTTACTTTCTAAAAAGTTTTTTTAATTAACATACGTAATTTTTATAATGTGTTCGCATATCTTTAATAAATTATCTTTGATTTTCTTGATGTGTTATTGAGCACAAGAGAATAAGAATACGCTTTTATAGAATATTTAGTATTAATCTTTTTTACTCTCACAAATCATCACATTGCATAACTGTAATACATTATCTTTGATTTTCTCGTTGTGTTATTGAGCACAAGATAATAAGAATACGTTTATATAGAATATTGAATAATTACCCTTTTTTTCTCACAAATCATCACATTGCATATCTGTAATACATTATCTTTGATTTTCTTGTTGGGTTATTGAGCACAAGATAATAAGAATGCGTTTTTATAGAATATTGAATAATTAAATTTTTTTCGCCCAAATCTTTGCTACACATTATCTTTGATTTTCATGTTGTGTTATTGATCACAAGATAATAAGAATACGTTTTTGTAGAATGCTGAATAGTTAACTTTTATTTCACACAAACCAGTAAAAATGAGGTTAATAAAGTAGATTTTATGCTATTTTAAGACATTTTATTTATTTTTCTCAGAATAATTTTAAAGCAATTTTGGATATTTATTAAAATTTTTAAATAATTAATTGTTATTTTTTTAAGTTGTATTTTAAGGTATTTTAAACTCGAAATTTTCTTTAGGAAACATTTAAATATTATGATCAAACAGTTTAAATATCCGTAAATACATTGATTGTTGTAATAATAACGCATCAAACAATATTTAAGGCAACATGTAAAGGGTGTTTCATTACAAAACTTATCAATACTTTTTTATATTTTATGTGATAATTTTTATATAAAATGTATTTTGCGTCATTTTAACGCATCAATTCTAAATAGATTGTTTTAGGTTTATATTTAAGTAAATGATAAAAAAAAATTAAACTAGCTGAATTTTAATTAAAATATATTTATTGTCACCATAATTAGAAGATTTATGATTTCTGATCCCTAATAAAAATTAATTTGTGCTAACCTTATAACACTTACTTGTTTAAGACATTAAAGTTATTATTATCCTTATTAAACAAAGCTTATATCTTAGAAAGAACAATTTCATGTATAGATTTAAAAATATTAAATGTCTGTTTTTGAAAATTATTGTAGTATATATATATATAAGTTAAAAATGTAGAAAAAAGAAAACTTGTTAATAAAATAAAGCAATATATAAGATGGAACTTAATATTTCCCTAAATTTTCTTCGTTTTTTCTTTAGTCTTTATTGTATTATATATAATTTATTCGATATGAGTTCNACATACATATAAATTATATTTTTTAATATTATTTTTCTAGTAATATTTTTCTAACACTGATTGTTTTTAAAAATATTTATCCTACATTTGTTTAATATTAAAAAAAATGTACATTGATTTGAATTTTATATGTGAATGACAAAATTCAGACACGTTAAGAACTGTTTTTAATTTTGGAATAGTTAAGAATTCTTGTCTCCGACCCATATTTGCAAATTTTAACCTCTTTTATTGTAAAATGCTTTAACTTCAGCGTTAAGTAATTTTTTGCATTTTAATGTAATAGTGGCCTATTTCATTTGAAAGTGAAACGCATGCAGTAGAAGTGAAAATAACCACGCGTTATTTCATCATTGCGGTTTCTTTCTAATACTTCTGCAAAAATATTCTTAAAATAAGCAATCTTAAAATAAATGTGTCAAATATCTTTAACTCTATTTTGTCGAATTCACTTTTTGTCATTGTTGTAGGTGCCGCTATGTTTTAAATAGGGTTGTTTTATATATCAGTTCTATATATCAGTTCTATATATCAAATATATATATCAAATATATGTATCAAATATATATATATCAAATATATATATCAAATGTATATATCAAATATATATATCAAAATACTAATTCATGGTAAACAAATTGGCTGTAATTTTGGCTGGCCAAATAGGCAAGATATTTAGTTAATTCATGTTACTGAATTATCTTTTCCCTTTTCCACCATGATTCAACTTAAATTGGAAAATGGTTTACTTGATACCTTATTAAGGTTAAATTAAATTATCAAATGTGTACCTCTTTCCTAGTCTTCGAGTCTTATTAAGTCTGTACCTCATCCATTTTGTACGACTATTTCAAATTTAAAATGCTTATGTAGAATGAACTGCTTTTGTCTACCCAAGTCAAAATTCTTGATTTCAATATCAAAAAAGTTGGTGGTTTATGTTGGTTTCAGTGCGATTCGTTAATCATTTGATGGTCACCATCATCCAGCATTTTCCATTACGTGTACAAGGTTTTTGATATGCCAATAAACTTCCATCATTCTATGAGAGAAAATACTACTTTAATATTATGATGTTTAACCATCAAGAGAAGTTTGACTCTCATGGACCAACAATCCGTGATGGTTTATGATGGTTCTAACTATACATTTCCATACATTAATGGGAATTCTTGCTGGTTCTTAGGAATATATCATCAAAACAATTAGGTTTTTTTTTATGTTAAACCATCATAAATCAATCCGAATTTCTATGTTGAGATGATGGTTTATCACTATCTTTCCAAAATTTGATTTCTAAGACACTATGATAGAAATTCGTGGTGGATCAACATGAACAAACCATCGAAGCAAATTGCTATTCTTATGTTGGACCATCATAAATCAGTTTG